AGTGGGATACCTTGTCGAATGCTTTACTAAGATCGATAAATACAACGTCCAGTAGATGGTTTTTATCCCTGGCCTCGACCCAATCTTCCCTAGCTAACAGTAAGTTTGTCAAGCAGGATCTTCCTGGTCGGAATCCGTGCTGTTCCACTGCCAGTAAGCCATGTTTTTCTGAATGAGCTAAGAGCTGGTCCCTTATAAGTTTTTCTAACACCTTTGCTACAATGCAGGTCAGACTTACAGGCCGGTAGTTAGATACTAACTGTCTATTCCCATCTTTGAAGATGGGGCTTATAAAAGCATCTTTCCAGTCTCTGGGTAACCTAGCCTGGGTCAGAGACATCTGAAAAATCTCCGTAAGTGGAATGTATATTATATCCGCCAGGGAGCTTAGCAATCTAGGGTGAAGTCCGTCTGGTCCAGGTGATTTATCTGGCTTCAACTTAGACAGTAGTTTCAGAACCGTTGCATCATCTACCACAATTGGGGGCATTTTAGGGGCTACACCAGTTACCTCGCTACACCCCTGGGTGGTACGATTAGACGAAAAAACATCACAGAAATATTCGGAGAGCTCCTCAGCTTTTGTTTCGTCTGATTCTGCAGCCTCTCCTGTGTTGCTAATGAGGTACGGTATGCCACTACTAGTTTTAGTCCTACGTTTGATATACGAGAACAGTCTTTTTGCATAATGCACACAATCCAGTACTAACTGTCTCTCATACTCTATACGACTTTTGTCAATCTCATACTTGCAAAGGTTTCGAACTTTGCGGTATTCTACCCGAAACTCATCCCTCCCAGTCGCAGCAAACCGGTCCCATAAGTTCTTTCGTTTTCTTAGTAACCTCCTTATTTCATTACTAATCCAAGGTGGTTTATGAGATAATTTTCGAGGCGTAGACCAAGGTACAAAGGGTGCAGTGACGCACTCTAGTGTATTCCTAAATCCCATCCAAGCCTCCTCGACAGTCTGGTGTGTGTTAACAGACCAGTCAGCTAGGGTTGCTGCATTTCGGATTGCAGGTATATTCGCTTTCCAAACGTTTGGGCGAGCGGCTGTTGACCTATGTATGACGGCCTGGATCCTGAACATGAAAGTAATAACTATGTGGTCACTACTGCCTAGCGGCGCCAGGCACCTAGTGTTACCAACATCCTCCTTCTGGTGTGTTAGCACCAAGTCTAGAGTGGACGGATCGTGTTCAGGATGGTATCGTGTTGGTGCATCCATATGCTGCACAAGTGCGCATTCAAGTACTGCCAGTATTAGTTCCCTATTGAAACAATTGTACGAAGTAGTTGATGTTAATTCCTCCCAATTAATATGCGGGGCATTAAAATCACCTACTATTAGACACCTATTCTTTCTACTCCACGTCCTGAGGTGATTTATAACGAAATTGTCAGCTTGGCTGGTGGGACTTCTATAAATAACCCCTATCGTTACAGTGCCTTTGTTCAAGTTAATGACACAACCTGCGGCTTCACAGGTGCCACTGTCATGAGCTTCCGACAACGTCGATCTAATTCCTATGTTACCTCGAATGTATAGAGCGACCCCGCCCCACCTTTCCGGCTACTTACTCTGTCTGCTCTAATGCAGATGTACCCAGGTATGAGTGGAGTTAAGTCTATACCCATTAACAACCATTTTTCGGTGATAGCAATCACATCCGGCTGTAGTTCCTCAGTCAACACTCCTAGTTCAGGAAGCTTATTCCTACAAGCTATTACTACAAGCGTTCGTGTAGCATACTCAGAGACCTATGTGTTCACTCGACTTATGAACAGAGGTCTGGGTAACATAGGTTTCCGAGACCTCACTACCCGAAAACCCAACAGTTTGATGTCTTTTTCACCTTTTTCTAATCGGGCCTTTAATTCAGCCACAGCTTCTCTTCTCCTAATTCTATCTTCCAAAGGCCAGTCTGGCCTAATTCTCATTTTTTATTCTTGATCTTGAATGCGTTGTTGAGAATTATAGTTTTCTCCATCTCGTTCCCCAGTACTACCTTCAGCAGTCGTGGGCAACCTTCCGTTGCATCGGCGATTCGTTTACCGATTCTGATGACTTTCCTTTTGTGAACACCATTCGTTTTTCCCGGAAGTATTTCACGGATGATGCAGCTAACTATTTCGAGATCTTCAGCATGTCGAGCAGCTGGATCTACCTTCTTCGATTCCTCCAAATTACTATACTGTAATTTGAGTCCGAAGGTTTAATCTTATCAGTGTTTACGGCCGTTGAGACCTTATCACTAACCACAGTACTTTTCTCTTTCCTGTGATTCTTGAGCTACCTACTCTTCGGCACTAGTCAGGTGGAATCAGATGGTTCCACTTTACTCTCGCCGCAGTTGGAAGCTGTGCGTTCACCAGACACGCAATGCTTCATCGTCGTGGTATCACCCTGCTATCTTACAATGTTGGCACTGTTTGCCCTCCTAGGTTTTCGGGGCTTTTTACGTGCTATTGCAGACTTCTGGGCACACTTCACCTCTGTTGCTTCCTTCGAAGCTAGGGGATGTGGTTCCGCCCCAGTTTTACGACTAAGGCCAGAATCCTCGTTTATAACATTTGTACTAGATGTTGCATTTTTCCCTGATCAGAGGTTTTTGGTAACTTCTTCGACATGAGAAGTCCTACGGCCTCTTGGATGAGGACATCCAACGGGTTTGCACAAAATTTGCACATCCATGGAGATGATGGCTTGCTGCTTCTCCTATAGGCTGATGGTGATAAGCCAGTGCAAACTTTATGGAACCATAGGTTGCAGTTATCACACTGCATCCCATCCTCCACCGGAAAGTGGCAGTGTGGAGTGCGTAACAATGTGATTGTACACTTTTTGGTTATTTGTAGAAATTAGACATATTGTACATAATTTTTGTTTAAAACGCTTCTTGTTGAAATACACTTGGCTTCCGTGTACGATTGAAAAATACACTCTGCTGTTGGAGACTTCTTCTCCTTGGTTTCTTCGGCTTACTAGCCCAGCTTTCACCGTTTTGTATCTTTCGGATTTATTATTGAAGTCCACTACGCTCAACCGAAGACAATTCTACAACCGGGACACAGCAGCTACAACCTACTGCGTCCAAACAATTAACGTCTCCGTGGGTTATATAAATAATTTGTAGCAGAGGACTTAAACTTTATTTCCAAGTAACCCTTTTGTTGATATAACGTGTCGTTGCATTTTTGGTAATATACTGTTACTTAACATTCCATTGACTTGAATTTTATTTCTCATATTTTGTAATACTAGTGAACTCTAACATAAATCCCCTACAACTACATCCAGTGAGTAAGTATTCTCACTCTACTATCTTGCAGTATTGAAAACGGTATGTCACATAGGTGTGACTTACCGACAACCATTTCACGACTAGGTACTATAGCTTCGCCGAGTTTCATACTGGAACAGCTGTAAGCAGTACCTACTTCCACGGTTTCTCCAGTAGTCAAGGATTCTAACTGAAATGACACTCGTTCACATATTAACGTTTTCGAAGAATTGAAAGTTTTTAGGACCAAGGATTGTTTGGGCCCTTAATACCCAAGCAGCCAGCCAGCTTAGTATCTATCAGAGTTATGTCTGAACCATTATCTAGTAACGCATATGTATCGACACATGACCTTGGCCCTCTTACTCTTACTGGCACAACGCCTAAATAGACCTTCTGGTAGTCGAGCGGTGCAGAACTGCTATTACAATTAATAGAACTCCCCTGATTCTTCGATACTGTCAACAGCGGATGTAATCCCAATGAACCACTACCACCATTCTCAGCTGTCTCAGTTAAGACTTGTGTGTCCGTTCTTTAAACAGCAGAAGCATAACCGTTTCCTTTTCACAATTTGTAACCTTTCTGTCGGAGACATTTGAAGGAAACGAGCACATTCACTAAGCATGTGTACGTCGCCACAGATAACACATTTTCCCGAATGTCCTATGCTTTGAGAACCTCTCGTCACAAATGACTTAGCGTTACTCTCTGACCTCCCAGTTTCAGAAGACGGATGCAGTATACTGGCGAATTTACTCATGGTCTGATAAACATTATCTGTCACTAATCTCAGTGTATCGTCGAACCCTGGTTCTAAACCTTCATCCTCTATACGAGAGCTTACCTTCACCCATTTCCTTTGCAGTCGAGTAGGTGGCCGTCTCGCTATTTCCTCTAGGACAGAACTCGAGTTCACATCGCTCATGCAATTCATCGAAACCAACGTATTCTTGTAGGTCATCAGATTATCCAGAAACTCAGTGAGTGCCTTGGAGTCGTCTCGTAACTGACTACCATTACCGTTAACAGCCTCGAATACGTTCCTTACAATCATCGAAGGTCTTCCAAACCTTTGACGCAGGATACGCATATACTCCGTATATCCCTACCTAGGTGGCAGGAACTTGCAACACTGTATTGCACTCACCGCACTACCAGCACAATGCTTCAACAAGTACATTAGTTTCATTTCATCACTCAGTTTCAAACACTCTAGTATGACTTCGATTTCTTTCACAAAGTGAGGAAAGTCAGCAGGATTCCCTTTAAAGCACCTGTGCTCGAACTTCGGTGGCATTAAGCGACTTATCTGTCTGGCTGGTACATCATGATTATCCAACATAACATCAGACATAACATTACACACATTAGACAAATCATCAGGACTTACTTTGTCGTCTGCCTCCAAAACGCTTCGTCATTTCTTCGGCCCAGGCAATATTGAACGTTACCAAATGATCCAGAAAAGTTCCAAATAACACTCGTCCAAAGAAAACTTGCGGACACGAGGAAAGACGAATTGTCAACAAATACAGCGAATAATTCCAGGAGATATCAATGTCCAGGTCTAACTACACTGGACTTAACGCTGTCCTTAGAAGACATTCAGCAACAATGTGCAATAACCAACGCGAGAAAACAGAACACAGATTGGTGACTCGAGAATCCTTTATTCTTGCACCAATATGGAACCACAATAAGGTTATTATGCACAAAGTCGAAGAATAAATGTCATAACAATTAATCACAATAATACTTCTGGTAGTATTTCTCCGTCTTCTAACGAACAGCGTACGATGGAACGATGACTGCAGTATCGGTGACTCCCCCCCAAAATGTGGAGTTTGTTTTGAGTAAACAACCATGAAATGATCGTTCATTCTTCAACTACATTGACAGTAGCACCGTACTAAAAAATACACATATGCACCTTTACTCGGCGAGACACCTCACCTCATCAGAAGACGATCTCTTCGTTGGACTACCCCAACTCTCGTCACACACAAATCACAGTAGAAGACAGAACTAAATCGCTGTAAGATATTTTTGTAGGTCAATTCATTCAGTTTAAAATGTGTCATATATACAACTAAAAACAGCCATAGTTAGATATGGTTAAAATTCCCTTCGGTGGCAGTTGTCAGGGTTGAAGAAGGAAGTGACAACCAAACACTGGTTGAACTTCCCACCAGTCAATGCAGTCGTGGCTTTCTGGCAGTTAATCAAACTGGTAAACTCGACATATATTTTCCCGATTCCATGAACCTCAACTCCAGGAATTGGACGGGATATCTCCAGACTCCGAACTACGCCATACTTACTGCATTCTGCGCGCACATCTTCCACTATATCTTCGTACTCGTCGTCATCCTCCAGTTCTGACGTTTCGATCATGTTCATTAGACACAACACTTCAGCCGGTGGTCCACCACTACGGATGGTGATATTACCCGAACCAGTTGTGTTCTGAACTGTGCCGTCTTCCAGACCAGGTAGTTGTAGCAAACTCTGAGGTAGGACATTGGTTGTGTGTTTGGCACCAACACTCGCTCTCTGCACTATCAGCTTCTTGTCACCCAACTGCATGCCATTAAGACCGGCACACGCGTGATCTGTGACATTAGCATCCACATACTCACAGAAGGCATAACCTTTCGACAAACCGGTCGAGCCATCTTTGACGAGGTTGAACCCCTTTAAAGAGCCAAAGCTCACCAGCTGCTCTTTCAACTGGTCCTCATTCAGATAGTTAGGAGGACCACCGACAAATATTATATGTGGGGAATCCTGGACGACAGTACTGACCACTCCAGGAACAATGACAGAAGGTTGCTCTGATACACCGGGTAGGGGAGCATAGTCACGGGGCCGACGGAGTTTCAGTGCTTGATCTTGAAACAATACACCATCGAGTGCCAATCCTTGAGATGTCTCATCGATAGAACGGAACTCAAGGAAGGCAAAGTTCTTCTCCATGTTGATCTGCACGGCAATTATTGGATTCCCCTCCGCCTGAATGAGACCTTGAGCTCTCATCTGCTTATTGAAGAACTGCATCATATTCTCTTCCGTCACAGTAAACGGTATATTGCCAAGGTACAAACGACGAGCTTGTGTGCATACAGCACTTCCAGCAAACGGCAAGTTCGTTGTGACTGTTAGTGGAGCATTCGGTGCGTGAACTGGCATCGGCACTTGTCCCGCGGCATAAACATTAACCGGTTTCTGACCCAATGCCTGTAGATGTTGTAAAAGTGCACCTGTATGTATAAAGGTGTTAGTATTCATCATGCAAATCGATTGCGCTACATCTTATAAAGAATATCATTAAATGGATGAAAATACTCAGTGGTGAGTTTGTTGCTGCTTAGTTTTGACTGAATTAGAGTACACGTATCTTCTAGTATTTCTTCGCGTTTATAATTGTGACCTAACGTTGCGATTACTCGACATCCGCAACGTAATTCAAAAGGCACTTGCGAAGGAATACGATAGTGTATTCTTGCAGCAATCAAAAATTCAAAAATCGAGCGAATGCAAAAGGTATCAATTGTTAACATGCAAGATTTAGGGTGATAAACAACTCGAAGTACAATTACACAATGAAAGTATAGTACGATGATGAGTAATAAAATAGGTCACTACAAGTTCTCTGTCCAAGAATACGAAAGCATATTTTACAGTGCACCTTGAATGTTTTCTACTTTTGTTTTAATGCGTCTATCTAATTTGGGATTGTGGTTGAAGGTTTTAAAGTTAGTTGGTCAGGTTAGTGTCGTAGGTGTAAGCGGAACCTAGAGTTCGCGACCCCAAGCAACTGACAGATATTGTGAAGTTGTACAGTATGCTTATATATTAGAATTGACATTTAATCTTCTTTTGTAATAATATAACCCTTGCCTGAGCACCACGCAGACAGAAGTCTTTGGTTACTCTGAGTTCCTTAATCGGTACGTACACGTTAGGTTGAGTACTGTTCAGGGTAAACTGAGGCAAACAAGTGTAGTAGGCGCTGACGTAATCACTATCTAGATGTAGACATCAGAACCTACAGACTAGTCAACAAAGGTGAGCCAACAGTATCTAAACTAGGTGTTCTTCTTCTTGAGTAAAATAATATGTGCCAAGGTGTTGGTAGGCAAGCCACGAATAACAGGTTATTACAATACATTCCCTCAGTGGTTAACAAACCAATCATTGTTTACTATCTCTGGTGCGAAGATGGTAGTGACGGAGTATCGCCACTTGTGTATCAAGCCCGTCTGGCGCATGACTTACCCTATCTCACTGAATGTGACTTTAATCCACTACCGTTTTGTTCTACATCCAATTTTACCGTCAAGTTCAGTTACCTAGATGCACTACTATAGTTATGCTTTATTTTTTTATTTTGTCCTATTTTTAATTCCGTTTTACAGATGAATTCTAACTTTGGATCGTATAAGCGTGTTCGACACCACTCATTGGTGCCGAAAGAAGTGCTCTGGCTGGGACAAGATATGAGAACGTCAGGCAGTGGAAATGTGGGAGAGAAGACCACAGTTCAGCCGAATAAACGTAAGGCCGTTATGCCACATAAGGGGCATCCAGACCAAAGACCCTTAACAAGTTCGAGTGACGAAGAATTGAGGGTAAACTGATAGGAGTAAATGCGGCATCTGGGAAACTTTTGTTCACGCGATTAGATGAACAGATAGCAACGTACCTGTTCTGCGGCTGCGAACCGTAGGCATTCTGATTTTAATCATTACGATGACCGTAGTTGCACTGAGTTATAAATCTAACAGTATAGGTACAGTCTATCCTCATGGTACATTGCGACACGTAGACATCACAAGCAAACTATCTCAGGTAGATTTATTTTCACTTTGTGATTATGAATTGCGTATCAGTTTATATGTTCCACTAAGACGATAGGTAACTGGAAACCACGGAAAATACCCATTGAGTCATGAAGAAAATAAAAGACAGATTCAGCGAAGAAAATTTTCTTTATCGACGAAATCATCTTCAGAGGCTGTACAGTCGTATTTATACTTACAAAAATATATAGTGGTCTATTATTGAGTAATAGGGGGTGACATAATTACTCAGAAGTGACTCAATAGCCATTTTAAACTTATGAAGAATAGAAGTTCTTCCGCCTCTGCGTTAATTGAGTGAAGTTGTAGTGTGTAGGCCCCTGTAGTAATACATTTGACATGGAGAATTATCGAAACCAAAAACGCTTGTACTTTACTAAATCTTACTCACTTCCTGTATAAATTTGATCTTTGTCAAGTATTCATTTAACAACTGCTGGAGTTTTCAATGAAGTAAAATTTGTAGTTCATAGTTCCAAGAGTTGTTGTCATAGGTATTGCCACGATACCACTTATTCATTTGACGCAGCCAAAATATTTATTTCTCGCTCTATTGAGGAAATAATATGTTGCTTGCAAAAGTAGTGCATCAGCTTACGAGTCTCATGAAGTCTACAGAATGCTTTCTGCACACCTAATACTGTTTTTGAGTTATCCGTGAAAACACATTTCCAAGTGGGATGTCACACAGGGCTGATTTCTGAAACTATCATCCCTATTTCAGTTTAATTCCATCACACGTATATTAGTAGAATAGTCTGTAATTGACTTTAATGGCTTATCAGGGAATAGTCTCATCAACTTACAGTATGCTGATGATATTATCCACCTAGCTTGTGATAAGTGACCATTGGATCTGGGGGATATGAAAAATACTAGGTTCCTGTGTCCTATCCCCTGTGTAAGTAGTATAATATGGTGAGTAATACTGGAGTTAAGCGTTAGTGTTAGGTAGAGATGTCGCTCCAAATAGCTGTCAGTTACACAGATGCTGTCAAGGAACTTAGCCCTAAGTTCCTATTGTAAAAAAGACTCTTTGAAACGATAATGACTATATATTTGTCCAAACTTTAAATTCAAAACACCAGTATTCCTTGAACGAGTTTATATTGTTTGACAATTAAAGCAAGACAAAATACAAAGTCTACAAACAAATGTTTAGTACAAACGTCCATTGACACTCCCCAGCAAAAAAGGGTCCATCCTCTTTTTCCATGGCGGGGGTATCCTTGAACTGAACTGCCAATGCGAGAACCTGGGCCAATCGGGACTAGGCTAAAATGGAAAAGCAAGACAAAAAAGCCTAACACACAACAAGCATACCACATCACACCGACACGCTCTCCCAAGCGCGTGTCGACAGTACCACCACTGATCTGGTTCACGAAGTATTGGTTGCTTCATACCACTCTAGCACAATCCTCTCCCCGGCGTATCCAATCGCGTACGCTGACTCTAACACTACTCGATTCGTTCACAAGTTTAGAAGCGACTTCAGAAGTACTTACAAAAACATTACAAGATGATTCACACAATGCGACAACTATAAAATTAACCGACAATCAGATGAACCGGAACCCACTCAATTACTTAACACAAACATATGTACAATCAATATATCAAATGTTGTGGATTCTGCCTTGACGAGCTACCCTTGAAGAACTGTGGGACTTACAGCAGTACGCTTACATTCCTTCTCAGGTTGACGCCCTTAAGTTGGAAAATCGTCGTTGAGTTCATTTGCTGACCTCCTTCCATCATCTATATCCTCAACTCTGAATGGTAACACGACCGTGACATTGTATCGTGGAATGTAGATGACTAACAAGTATACGACGTATCTGACCAACCAAGCGAAGACACAGAGTAATTTGCACCAAAGGTAATAACATTCAAATAGTAGTTTGATACCTGAAATGCCTTTATTCGTGCAAGTCAGTCTAATAGTAAATCTCTTGTACACAGTTGGCTTATCGTCACTAAACTGGCCATTGACTTTCGTCCCTTCGAACGGACCGACACTAGCATAATCACTACGTAACACACGTTGGTTCATGGACGGCTCTCTTACTGTATATGACAAAACCAAAGACGACTGACTGACACCAGTTGAAGAACTTAGCGGTGCATCAGAAGCTGTTGCTGTTCGACCTTTAGAAGGTTGTCTAACCGCAAGATTACCATCACTGCTATCTTTCATTATTAGCTCCAGTTCAGCTTTAACATCTGTCGATAGTTGGGCTACACTCGGATCATTTACACTGACGGTCTCACTAGTATCCATACCTTCTGCAACCGCATCTGCCTTTAATTCTAATTCACTTTCTGGCACCTTTACGTGTAAAAACATCTCTTCTATGTTAGCGACAGTGGCAACCGGAGACATTCTGAATCTCAGCAGCAATCCTACTAGTGATCCCTCACAATCCGGGCCACATTGGTTCATTCTGATTAGCCAGTCTTTCCACGTAACCTTTAACTATGTGCTTGTCGATGACCTCTTTATACTTGGTCCACAGATCTGAATTTACTAGGAACTTCTTTCTTAGACTCAGAAGTCTCTTCATTGCCACCTCTCTGTTACAGAGCGTCTGTTTATCCTCGGATCTCCAAGGTAGTCCCACGATAAATCGATCGTTCTCAAACCTACAGGTTTCATTAACCAATTTTGCCGCTTTCCTATCTTCGACAGACCGCCCTCTTTCCACAGAACTATTATCGTGGAACTCTTTGTCGTACATATCCCGAACCATACACGTTCTATACTCACTTCGTTGACAGTAACCAGGGGCGACACTTGGGCCTTCGACACAGGTCCCCGTATAGTCCACCCAAGAGGAGTTTCAGTGGCATCTTACAACTGGAGAGTGACCGATCAAAAAGTATCGATTCAGAAAAGCAACTCGTATATAGGCCTATATTCTACTCGTTAATAACCTTTGGTCTAAGCTTCATCACTGTTTATTACTATTACTGGCCACGAACAGTGACAGGACGAATCACAGTATGCCTGATATTCGCTCTGTGTCTGCTGTGCATATTCCTGTTGAAATATTTTCTCCGAACGATATTCTTGAGACGAGTAAACAGGACAAATGAAAAACTGAAAAAGCTGCGTGCGACAAAACAAAAATTGTTAGAGGATGTGAGGGAGAAAGAGACATACAACAAAGCGCAACAGATTCTAAAGCGGTTTGATCCATTAACACTCGCTTCCATGGCTGCAGAGGAAAGAAAGCTTGCAAGGCCTGGATTTGGCTCCATGATCAACTTGGGATCCTCTCAGTCAGAAAAACGACGTAGAAATACTTGCGACGCTGCTGCAGGTGATAAACTTTCGAATACTGGATTATCAAATCAAAGTGTGCCTACACAACCAAGTAGTAGTACATCTATGCATGGTTCCGTTCAGGCACCAGCAATGAACAAACCACGTTTGTTAAGACCACTTCTGCCTAGAGAACGTTCAATAGTTGATAAACTTTTGGATGTATTAGTTGGTGATGGTCCTGATAAACGGTATGCTCTAATCTGTAGGGAATGTGCTTCGCATAATGGAATGGCATTAGCAGAAGAATTTGAATATTTAGCATTTCGATGTTGTTACTGTAATCACTTTAATCCAGCACGTCGTTCACGATTACAGACCTCACTGGCGTCAAGAAGTATTGGCAAGTTGGATCCAATCAATTCACAGTCAACACCTTGCCTATTAAGTAAACCTAGCCCCACAGGATTACTGGAAACAATGACAGAAGAAGTGACAAAAACCTCAGGCAATGATGACAACCTCATGAATAGGCATAATGATGACAACACTAGGATTGTTCATGTTCCCCGGAATACTGTCACTGCTAATGAAGACGATGTTGCTGACGGTGATGCTGTTGATAAAGAGAGTGACAGTAATAAAAGAAGCCATCTGACAAATGGATTCAGGAAAGACGTGGATTTAGACAACGCTGACAGTGGCAGTAGTAATAGTAATGATGTTGAGGTTAGTCATCATGATTGTGATAATTTAAACAAGTATATACATATGAAAAGTGTGATTGATTATCTCAGGGGAGTTCGTCGCCAAGCTACAAATTTGTGTTGTTGTTCTGATGTCCTGTGTTAATTCGTCACTTTCGCCTTTCCTCTTCTTCTTATATCACAGTCTCAGTGTGTATATGTCACTGTGAAATAAGAAGAAGAGGAAAGGCGAAAGTGACGAATTAACACAGGACATCAGAACAACAACACAAATTTGTAGCTTGGCGACGAACTCCCCTGAGATAATCAATCACACTTTTCATATGTATATACTTGTTTAAATTATCACAATCATGATGACTAACCTCAACATCATTACTATTACTACTGCCACTGTCAGCGTTGTCTAAATCCACGTCTTTCCTGAATCCATTTGTCAGATGGCTTCTTTTATTACTGTCACTCTCTTTATCAACAGCATCACCGTCAGCAACATCGTCTTCATTAGCAGTGACAGTATTCCGGGGAACATGAACAATCCTAGTGTTGTCATCATTATGCCTATTCATGAGGTTGTCATCATTGCCTGAGGTTTTTGTCACTTCTTCTGTCATTGTTTCCAGTAATCCTGTGGGGCTAGGTTTACTTAATAGGCAAGGTGTTGACTGTGAATTGATTGGATCCAACTTGCCAATACTTCTTGACGCCAGTGAGGTCTGTAATCGTGAACGACGTGCTGGATTAAAGTGATTACAGTAACAACATCGAAATGCTAAATATTCAAATTCTTCTGCTAATGCCATTCCATTATGCGAAGCACATTCCCTACAGATTAGAGCATACCGTTTATCAGGACCATCACCAACTAATACATCCAAAAGTTTATCAACTATTGAACGTTCTCTAGGCAGAAGTGGTCTTAACAAACGTGGTTTGTTCATTGCTGGTGCCTGAACGGAACCATGCATAGATGTACTACTACTTGGTTGTGTAGGCACACTTTGATTTGATAATCCAGGATTCGAAAGTTTATCACCTGCAGCAGCGTCGCAAGTATTTCTACGTCGTTTTTCTGACTGAGAGGATCCCAAGTTGATCATGGAGCCAAATCCAGGCCTTGCAAGCTTTCTTTCCTCTGCAGCCATGGAAGCGAGTGTTAATGGATCAAACCGCTTTAGAATCTGTTGCGCTTTGTTGTATGTCTCTTTCTCCCTCACATCCTCTAACAATTTTTGTTTTGTCGCACGCAGCTTTTTCAGTTTTTCATTTGTCCTGTTTACTCGTCTCAAGAATATCGTTCGGAGAAAATATTTCAACAGGAATATGCACAGCAGACACAGAGCGAATATCAGGCATACTGTGATTCGTCCTGTCACTGTTCGTGGCCAGTAATAGTAATAAACAGTGATGAAGCTTAGACCAAAGGTTATTAACGAGTAGAATATAGGCCTATATACGAGTTGCTTTTCTGAATCGATACTTTTTGATC